TGGGTAGGACCCTTCATTTGCATGGGCATGCAGCCCTTAATATCATCAATCTTTGAAAGAGAAAACACCCCCTTCCCTTCAATCAGCGTCTGGGGTTGGTTGTTTGATTGTTTCAGAAATTGTATTTATTTGTAAGTGTAGGATTAGTTAGATGTGTATGTCTGAAACTCCCCAAGTCAATGACAATTACATTTCCCGCGGCCAGCTAAAATTGAAAATCTTGGTGGGATAAAATAATACTATAGGGGGGTTGACTATAGGATTAAAGTCCTGGCAAGTAATCCACATTAATTTCTTCGTTATGGACTTATATGGGGCTAATTAATTAGCTAGCTAGCTCTGAGTATTACTACTCAACACTTGTAACAGCGATGTCTCTCACTAGTCCAAATATTGACTGTCCTTTGCATTCGTGCAATTCTCAGTCAAAGGGTTTGAAGGTTAAGTCTAGGTTTTGGAGAAGAAAGAAAAACACTTTACCACTGTAACACTAACTTGAGAGGCAAGTCAAAGAGTCGAAGTATTGGAATTGCGTGTCGTAAGAACGTACGTCGTCAGGGAAAACAAATTTTACTAGTAGGAGTAGTACACAGCATTGCATTAAAGAAAGATAAGAACGGAATATCTACTGGTGATGATCGCATCTTGATTTGAGTTTGGTGAGACTTAAGAATGGTCGTTTTCTTTGCTTCTCCTCTTTCATTTGATCATTTCTTTTCTTTTTGAGTTTTTGTTATTCATATTCCAGATTTTGACGAAATAGAAAAGTCAAAACACAAGGAGTGGATTACAGTTGTGCCCCGCTTTTGAATATACGCTGCAGGTTTGGCTTTACAGTTCATAAGTCATAACCACTACTTTAAAAATTTGACTACACAGAGGTTTTAACTTTTAAGCTTTTGGGAGATTTCTTGTTTACCAAACTTCGATATAGCTGAACAAAAACAGTTCCACGTACATATGTACTTTTTAACAAAAAAAGTATCCGTATCACGCAACAGCTACTTATGTAGCATACAATATTCTATATGGACTTTTTGGTTGTTTTTTTGAAGATGTTTATCATTTTACTTGGTTTTTATATCAAGAGATTTTATACCCATTATGGGGTAAACTATCAATCTGAAAGACTGAAACCTCTCTTAGTCAATGAAAGTATATGTTGATATATATTAGTCACAAATGCATGGGAACGTTTTTGTCCAAAGTCAGATTTGGCGTTTAATTTGTCCCTATGTTATAAGTTTATAACTACCATTGTTAATAAAGATAACCAATTAGTTGTTGGGTTAGACATAGGCTTGATGGGAATATTAGTGTGTATATTCTAACGTTTATACCCAACTAGTCAATTCATCCCAAAGTTTTAAAATTAGTTAATTAAGTTCCAAGGTTCTCTAAATTGAGCATATCCATCCTATGACCTACAAACCAATAAATGTGACCTGTTATAACATGTAAAAATAGTTTGGATCCAATACTTAACAATTTTACTTAAGTTTTTTTTTTAATTTTTTAAAACTTTGGTTTATTGAAAGACAAACAACATTAATACAATGAAGAAATTTAAATTGTTTAATTAATTTTTAATGAATTTAATATTTTTTTAATTTAATTCATCTTAATTTGTTGATAAAATTTAAGATACATCCCAAATTTTTTCCTTTTATTTTGAGTAAAAAAAGAATGATAAAAATTTCACATATGTATCTTTGTATTCAATGACTAATAAATTTTGAGTTCATTCTAACTTTACAAGTTTAACTTTGTGATGAATTAATTCTTTCTTTAGTAATTATTAATTAAGTTTTTATGAGTTTTTTTTCTCATCTTGATTTTTCCTTTATTTTTTTAATAAACCAACAAAATGACAAAAAAATAATGGATGAGGGAAAAAAAAAGAATAAATAAGGGACCCAATAGATTTTTACATGTTATCTCAGGTCACTTTTGTTGTTTTGCAGGTTATGGGATGAATTTGTTCAATTTAGATAACCTTGGGACGTAATTAATCAATTTTAAAACGTTAGCATGAATTAGCTAGCTGGATATTAACGTTGGGCTGTATGCATTCATTCACCCTAGGTTTGATCACCAAGTACTTAATAAGAAACATTTCTTTAAAATGCAAACGTGTGCTTTTTAAGGCTTCAACCTTTGAAAAAATATCTTGGAAACTAATTTTGTATTTGACTGACTGAGAAATCACTATCTTTTTTTTTTTTCTCATCGACTTGGTGCTCTAGAGAAAAGCAAGACGCACACCAAAGTCGTCATGGAATAGTTTTTGATTTCTTAATTAGAGTACAATTAATTAAAAACCTTTCAAAGTCAGCGATGAAATCAAATAAGAGAATAGATTACTGAAAACAAACACACACACACAAGAAATTGTTACGTACGTGTTCAAAGAGCTAGCTAGCGTTTATATATCTTTTATCCCGAAAACCCCAAACAAAAGGTTCCAATCTCGTCCGCCCCCCAAACTCAATGATTTTTTAGTCAAATATTATACTAATACGTAACACACATATGTATATTTCCTGCCAAATTAATTAATTTGTTCCGTGTTCACTTCTTGTTTCAATATTTTTAATAATCTCTATTTTCACTAAACCTTTGACTATGCACGAATTTACATTCGTTTTAAAAATCCGGATAATGGATCCTACTTCTTTAACATTTTCTTAGGTGTCTCGCAATTGAGAGGTTAAATTTCCATTAAGTTCGAAGTCAACTCATTGAAACTTCTAAAGTTAATCTGAACGTATAGGTTGGAGATTAGGTCGATCATGCATGGAAATCTAATTGAGTGTGTCACTTATCACGTCATCACGTGGATTTAATTAAAGGATGCAAATTTCATGCGGGTTATATCTACATGCACACCGATCCGATTAAATAAAATTTTTTTTGTCTTAAAATAATTATCTTGAATATATTATATTATTTTAAATAACAAATATGACGATTATTTTAGAAAAAATAATATTTTTGGTAAAAATTGAACTCAAAATGAGGAGCTTTCTGGTACTATTACATACCAAGTGGGATTTTTTTCCTCCTAATTTTATTTCACATTGCACATCATAAAGTACGTCGCTCTTTCAAAGAAAAAAAAAAAGAGGGTACGATACAATCGAATACCTAATTAAAGATGAGATGTTGAGAAAGTACGAAGGAATTTTCAACAGTATTATGGAGAGGGTTATTTCCGTAACAACATTGAATTAATTGACAGATCAATTATATTTTTTCCACGGACCCATTGGAAAATTAAATAAGCCGTGGTCTTTGCTAGTCATCAACGTTGCTTTCACCACAGCTTGATCCTTTTGTCTTCATCTCGTCACTTATTTTCTGGGGGGTCGTCTCAAGTACTCTCAAGAAGAATATCGAGCAATTAAGCAATACCATTGTGTAGGTGTAGCAGGGATTATATATGCGTGCTTTCAGTTATTGCAAACATATCCCGATCATATATTTCTTTCGATTCTTTTTTTTTTAATAAAAAAAACCTTCATTACTGTTACTGGAAATCACCCAATTACAATTGGTACAGAACGTCTAACAACAACTAACGGGAGAATATAGTCACTAAACTAATCACTAAACCATTACAACTTCCGGTCCTTGTTTATGATCTACTATATCTTATAATTAAGTTGGACGAAAATAAAGTATTTCACCATCTCAAATTAAAACTAAATCTATGTCTTATAATTAAGTTAGACGGAAATAAGTATTTTCACCATCTCAAATGATCACCGTCTAGTCTTAATATTTTGATAACTAGACGAGGGATGCGTATTCCAAAATTAAATAGCGAAATAAGTAAAATAATTGACGGATGAAATTGAATATGTCCAGCCAGCAAGCTCTGAAAGTGATATATTTTTTGTAAGTACGCACTTCACTACTCACCCGAGTTGCTATATTTGTACGATATATATCGATGCTTAAGGTTGAAAGCATTTATTACTCACCAATAATCAAATGCATGTTGAAGATTGAGAGCTGTGAATAACACAGTTGACACTACTATCGTGTCAACTAGTATTTATTTAATTAATTATTTTCCTCATCAATTGATCACACGGAGTATTAATTTTTTGACTCCAAAACATCATTTCTCTGTCACCTTTAATTGTATTGTCGGCCAAATTGCATCGCCATTCGAACTGAACTGTTATTAATAACCAATGCATATTTGAGTAATCAGAACGAGACTAAATAATATAGTTCTCTAAGAAACAGGAATTGAATGGTAGGTTAGTGGTTAGGGTGCTATTTTTCTTAGTAATAGACAAGGGTTCGATTACTACCAAGGGATTTGTGAGGGGGGTTTAACAAAAAAGGAAAAAAATATTTCTCAAAGAAACTAGCCAGCTTAGATGAATAAAAGCAATGTAATTAACCTTGTATATATATTATTCCATGTTGAAATTGTACAATTATCACGGTTAAGAAGGAATCAAATTTAATCAGTGGATTGAGTGAGAGTGTACGAACTTGACACAAAATAAAACATATGTTTTCAACTGTTGCGACATTTGGGAGCATGTTGTTGTTTCCAGAGCCAAATGACAACAAATTGGGTTACATTGTAGCAGCTATAAGCCAAAATTGCCAACTAAACTCCTCTTAATAGCTTTAAGAAAGAGGCCCATTGGTGGTCTCTCTCTGCACAAAATCTGAAACTAATTAAAACATTTGTCATCAAAACCTGGAAACCTCAGAAAGCATCAAGGGAGCCAGTTGATCAATTTGTTAAACACCCCCCAAACCCCGCACCCTTCCCCCATGTTCACATGCCTCCCAAAACAGGGAAAAAAAAAAGTATGAGCCACCAAATCAGTCTTTCAGGTACCCATTTGGTTCATATAGATATACACACTTGCATCCTGCTTACATTTATATTAATAGATTCCTCCTACCCACAAACTCATAAATTTTCCATTAACAAAAGATGAGTGACCAGATTTCAGCTGTTATTTTACCCCAAGTGTAATTAAAGAATTCGGAAATACCCACTATATATTTCATGGTCCAAGCTCAATTCCACTCTGTTCGTAAGAATAAAATGTGGGCTAAAGTTTGGATTGTTGGACTTTAGAAGTTGGGCTATAACAAAATTGGGCTTTCAGTTGCATTGTTCTTTCTTCAACCTCCTCCAGCATCGTCTCTACGGTGGCGCGCCACTTTTCTGCTTCAGAGTCAAAACACACTCAATCATGAGTTATGAACTAAATAATAAGGCTGATAAATTTCCAGATTTGCATCCATGAACCAAGCTTCATGGAGCCTCCCACATACCCTTCGTCAACTCATAAAAGCCTGTATAGCCCAAAGAGATCTTGTCACCGGCAAATCACTCCATGCTCAGTACATCAAGTCACTGATCCCATGTTCTACTTACTTTTCCAATCACTTCATTCTCCTCTACTCCAAATGCGGCCTACTTTCCGATGCCCACAAAGCCTTCGACGAAATCCCAGACCCTAATGTCTTCTCGTTCAACGCTATCATGGCTGCCTACGCGAAAGAGTCCATGCCAAAGGTAGCTCACCAACTGTTCGACCGAATTCCCCAACCGGATCTTGTCTCTTATAACACCCTCATTGCGGCATATGCTGACCGAGGGGAGACTGAGCCTGCCCTTGTGCTGTTTAGGGGTATGAGAAATATGGGGTTAGAATTGGATGGTTTCACATTTTCTGCAGCGATAAATGCTGCTTCTGATGACAAGAGCTTGATTACTCAGCTGCACTGTTTGGCCACTCTGGGCGGGTTTGATTCGTATGCTTCTGTGAATAATACTTTAATTTCTTGGTATAGTAAAAACGGCTCTTTGGACGAGGCTCGTAATGTGTTCTACGGAATGGGAGATGTTAAAGATGAGGTGTCATGGAATTCGATGATTGTTGCATACGGGCAGCATAGGGAAGGATCAAAGGCGCTCTCTCTGTATGAAGAAATGGTGCAAAGGGAGTTCAATGTGGATATGTTTACTTTGGCAAGTGTTTTGACTGCCTTCACGAGTACAGGTGATTTGTTTGGCGGGATTCAGTTTCATGGGCAGTTAATCAAAACGGGGTTCTATCAGAATCCTCATGTGGGGAGTGGTTTGGTTGATTTGTATGCTAAATGTGGCGGTAGTCTACTGGACTGCCGGAAAGTATTTGGGGAAATTCCGGAGCCTGACTTGGTTCTGTGGAATACAATGATTTCTGGGTATTCTCAAAATGAGGAATTCTCTGAAGAGGCTGTTGATTGCTTTAGGCAGATGCAAGCTTATGGTCATCGTCCAGATGATTGCAGCTTTGTTTGTGTCCTTAGTGCTTGTTCTAACTTGTCGTCGCCTACTCAGGGGAAGCAGATTCATGCGCTGACAATTAAAGCGGATATCCCATCGAATCGCATCGCTGTAAATAATGCTCTCATAGCAATGTATTCAAAATCAGGAAATCTATACGACGCCAGGAGGGTTTTTAGTCTAATGCCAGAGCATAATACGGTCACCTATAATTCGATGATTGCTGGTTATGCTCAACATGGATTAGGGGATGAATCGTTATTGCTATTTGAGGAGATGCTCGCCAGAGACATGACTCCTACTAGTATTACTTTTATCTCTGTTCTTTGTGCATGCGCACATAATGGGAAAGTTCAAGAAGGGCAGAAATATTTCAAAATAATGAGAGAGCAATTTGGGATTGAACCAGAGGCAGAACACTATTCCTGCATGGTTGACCTTTTGGGCCGAGCAGGTCAGCTTAAGGAAGCAGAGAGACTGATTGATACTATGCCACATCATCCCGGTAGCATTGTTTGGGCATCACTACTTCGTGCAAGTAGAACACACGGTGACATTGAGCTAGCAGAGAAAGCAGCCAACAAGTGCCTTGAACTGGACTCCTCAAATGCGGTTCCACATGTAATGCTTGCACACATGTATGCCTGCACTGGCAGATGGGAAGAAGTAGCCAAAACTAGAAAACTTATTCGAGATAATCAACTAAAGAAGAAACCAGGGTATAGTTGGATGGAGTTAGACAAGAGGATCCATGTATTTGTTGCAGATGATAGTTCACATCCAATGATAAAGGAGATACATGAGTACTGGAAAGAGATGTCCAAAAAGTTGATGCAGGCAGGTTATGTTCCTGATTCGAGATGGGCCATAGAAGTCAATGGAGGACTGAGAAAACGAGAAGGGGATACTCGGCTGGGCTATCACTGTGAGAAGCTTGCTGTTGCATTTGGGTTGTTATCAACTAAAGAAGGTGAGTCTATACTTGTCATGAAGAATTTGAGGATATGCGTGGACTGTCACAATGCAATCAAAATCATTTCTGCTATAACTGGAAGAGAGATTACAGTTAGGGATTGTTATAGATTTCACTGTTTTAAGGATGGCAAGTGTTCTTGTGCAGACTATTGGTGATTTAAATCCCCCAGAGAATTCACAAAAAGCAAATTTTTTCCTTGAACTTCCAAATGTAACTTGTGCATATTTCATTCTGTAATTCGTATCCAAAAAATGATGCTCCACTCCAAAGAAATAGTATAGTCTTCTGGTATACAATAAAACCTACACAAACTGATCTATCCAACATGGAAACTCTAAATCTAAGAAGATTCAGTATACCAATGAAGTCACATAATAAAGAGATTCCAACTATAACAATCATTTGGTTAATTGAAAGACTTGAGGTGGAAAACTTGGCACCGTGGAGTGTAGGAGTCCTTGGTTGCTTCTACCTCGAATTTTTTAGCTGCAGTTTCATTCTCCAGTAAGCTGGTTTGGACAAAAAAGCGTGCCCACCAAGTAGAGCTGCGCATTTTGGCCTGCAAATTGAAGTAACATTTAGACTCCACAACCATAAGCCACCTACACAAATGTGATGGTTCATTTCCAGACTAACTAATCTACCTTTGGAGTAATGATTGATACAGGGAAAACTTTCCAAACATGGTTTATGCATTTAAGGTTAGGGCATAGTTAAGATCTTGACACATCATTCCTTGTCATTTTTTCCTTGCACCTATCACTACTCCTACCTTTGATGGCATCTCAACTTATAAAAAAAAAAAAAAAAAAAAAAGAAGAAGAAACTATAAAAATTTATATGAATGGCATCTCAACTTTATAACAAAAAAGAAGATAACGAGGGGAAAGAGAGGGAGGGAGGGGGAGAGAGAGAAAGCGAGCCTAAACTCCTTACCGGGCGTCCAAACTTGGACAGCTCTGCAACTTTAGCTTTAGATTGGCCTGGTGAACCTAAACCAGAAAATGTAGACCAGATAAACCAGTATGCTAGATCATCTAGGTTATTTTTCTCATAATAACAATCAACAATAGAGGAGATGACAGATTAAGAAACAAAGTCTTCAAATCAAAATATATTCAACTTCAATTAGAAAGAAACAAAGACTTTTTATCAGATCTACTAAGAAGGAAATGATCAGTTTGAATGTTGTTCAGAACGAGGATCATATCATTAACACATATACAACCACCATTATTATTAGAGAGAGAACATTTATTGTTTGACATACCTGTAAAAATAACAAGGCCATCAGAAGACAACCTAGCCAAATCAGGAAGAGTCTTGTTCAGGTATTTTGGAGATAGATAATCCAAAGCATCAGAAACAATAACAAGAGAAAATGAATTTTCCCGGTAAATAAGGGGAAACTTGATGTCAGCAACGCGTACAAAACCCCTGTTCACAAGTGTCTTGCACATGCCACCGGCATCTTCCACATCATATGGTTCAATACCCCAAGCTTCAGTATCCTTTTCTTTCAACAATTTAGAGATTACTGAACAAGAGTCTGGTCCAACATGCAGCACTTTCAGCATACTATCACCGTATGTTTTCTTAAGAACGGGTATTGCCTTTTGAAGTTCCAACGTGCACGAGTCACCTACAAGTGTCCATACTCAAGTGATTAGTCTTGGTAGTACTATTCCTTCTAAATTTAGCAACACTGCCAACAAATAAATTCTTGCGTTGATTGCATAAATATTTGATAGCGATGCATAAATCAACACAGATAGAGGGCCAAGATAGCGGATAATATATCATACCATAAGCTCCTACTATTGCCTCCCTGCTAATCCCTGATAAGCCTACACAAAACGTATGTAAAGTAAGCTAATGAAGTTGAAACCAGCTAAAGTTGATCTCCTACTACTGTACAACCTAGAAAATTTCCCTAAAATTCCAGCATACCTGATCCCCGAAATAAATAGCCAACAACAAGGATGACACCCTGAAAGTTCAGAAATACAAAGTCGTTCTCAGCATATGTTAGTTGCCAGAGGTAAATCATAACCATAGGGGGCATAAATACAAAACTGAAATTACCAAAGCACCAAGGACGACAGATAACAAAGGAGAAGGGCGTGACTTTGGGTGAAAGATAGCTGCAGTGAGTCCACTGCCCGGAGGTCGCCTTGAGGAAGTTGACGGCCTTCTCGACATGATTGGCTACTTTGTAAGTGTAGAAGAATTCACACTGGAGAGGAAAAAGAAACTCTCAATAATAATAATTATAATAATAACAATAATCATAGATCACTCGTTTTAACAAAAAGAAGATCTACACACATCACTAACAGGAGAAGCGAAAAACCACCGAATAAAATCTGGTAATCTGTTTGAAGATATAGCTTTTTCTATCAAAAACATGATCTTGGGAGAAGGAATCAATATGAAGCATGTAAGCAACAACCCATTTCATTATATTTTACACAATCAATATGCCGGCGATCAAATTTTTAGGAAAGGGATTTTAGAAAATGCAGATTGTCGAGTCAAGCTCAATATTAGCCCGAAGAACACAATCAAAAACGAAAAAAGGAGCCCCTTTTGGAAGTAGATTGCATCGAACAAAAACAACAACACTAGAGAACCAACAATATCAAACAAGAACTAAGAGCGAAAAAAAGAAGACATTTTGATTGGATCTAACAATAGTACAGCAGAAAGTGGGAGTAGAGAATGATAAACCTGAAATTGGGATGGAAGAAAGTAGGAGTGGGTGGTAGAGAGGTTGCAGCATCGAGGAGGAAGATCTTCTTGTTGTTATTGTTAATGGCGCGACTTCGGATCTACCGCGTTTAAATAGGTTTCTTACGTTTGACATTGTTCGATGTTTTCACCCTTTCCACCTTTTCCGTCGTATCTCATTCGAGATCGCACTCCTTGCTGTCTTCTAACTACCACCGACGCTCCTTCTAACTTAACTTTTATTTATTGTTTAACCCCCTCAATTTAATTTGAAATGTCCAACATACCATTCAAGGTTCATTAAAGAACACTAATCACCCCTTCACCTTTAAACCAACTGTCAGAAATATCATCTGTCTTGACCCATTTGAACAATTAGTGATGCTAGCTAAGATCAGTTATTTAGTAAACTATCAAAACAGATCAGAATATTTCCCCTGCCACTTATCTAATGATGAGTTTAAATAATTATCAAATGACTTTAAATAAGCATGTAGTAATACTGATTAGTGATTATATCAAGTATCAATTTTGTCTAGCTCAGATGTCAGTTTGATTTGAGAGAAGTGAAACATGTTGTCATTATGATAAGAGTGCAGATTCTTAGGGCTGGTAAGGAGAATCTTTATAAAGTCAATGTTTGGTTGGTCAAATTCTTCATTATTTAAAGCAACCATTTTTGTTTTCTCACCATAAAATAAATTTGTTTACATTATTCTATTAGTGACATGAGATACATGTAAGTGGAACAAGGGGTAAAAAAAATACCGGACAATCATTTTAAGATTGATAGTGTATAACGATTATGAGAAATTGTAAAGGGCTCATACAAGGTGACAAGTATGAATGTATCATAAACTGTACAATCTCTTAGTAAGAAAGTAATATAAAGTAGCAATAAATTGTTAAATATTGCATTTATCTCCGGACAACTTCAAGAAGCATGTAGCAAATTCATTCCTTTTAGCAAATGCATGACTTGCATGATGTGATCCTTTACAGAGACACCATAAATCAAAACTAACAACAGAGGTCGCAAAATATTGCTTACAAATCCAGAAGGGCCATGAGCATTATAGGATTCTTCATTCTTGTTTTCCAGAACCAAAGACTTGGATCTGCAAAGGCCAATGTATACGTCGTCGACATGTTGATGACATATGAACCAAGCAAAAATCCCGTTAGGAGTAGGTACTGTTCTAACTGTTCATAGTATCTTCAGATCGAGGGGGCCTCCATTTACTAAAGAAGATACTCCTTTCTACAACTTCCTCCCTTTGCCTCCCTAATTTGTTATCAATGATCTCCAGCAACTCTTGCAAGCCAACTCCCGTAAGAGCAGATGTTTGCACTTGGGAAGTGGCTGCATATTGAGATCCGTTATCCATAGCTGTACAGTTTTTGAAGGTAGAGTTTTCTGTAGAATCAGGAGAGTCTTGTCTCGTGGAGGAGCATTCGTCATCCACCAGTAAGTCCTCGTCTTCCCCTGATAGCAACCAACCATCAGAATGATCAGCTTGTTCGGCTTCCAGTTCTTCAGGATTCAGTGACAGTTCAGACGTTTGATCTACTGCATTCTCACAGTCAGACACTTCCAATGCAGATACGTCCTGGTCAGATTCATCATCATTTTCATCCAATAAATCTCTTACTTCTTCATCTTTGCCACATTCATCTAAGCCAAGTTCTGTCCTCTGAAGATCAATCTGAAGAGATAAAATAAGATGAATAAGTTTCAGAAACTGGTTTTCCTGTTAGGAGGGGAAGAAATAGGTAATTTAGCAGCTGCAGTACCTTATTCCAGACTTCAATCATGTTCTCAAGTTTATCATTTGATACTCCTATTTGATGAAGGACTTGTAACACCGAATCCCGTTGCTCAGCTACATTAGGAGAACTTGAATCTAGGACATGCTGCAACATGGATAGACAGCAAACTTTCAATTAATTTACAAGGATGGAATTGTTTCAATCGTGTTATCATAAAAGAAAAGGGACTATATTATGCTCCCTTGTAGCGCGATAAGCATTTTCAGGTGAGATATGATTAAAGTCCAGAACTCAAAATCAAGAAACAAAAACCAAACTTTTAATCATACCACAAGGAGGTCTGCCTCAACAACTTCTTCTAAGGTTGCTTTAAATGCCTCCACCAACTGCAAGTTGCCAAACACGCAATGCAATGAGAACTAAGAACAATGCCCATTGAGACCAAAACAGAAGCAAAACTCCCTTATTACCTGTACAGGTAAATCTGATATAAAACCAACTGTATCGCTAAGAAGCACCTTCCGCCTGAATGTCCGCATTTTATTAGATAACAAGCACAATACTCCTGAATGTTAGTAACCAGAATGCCAAATTTGCAACTCAGAGAATAGAAATTACTGAACAGTTCTCCATAACGAAAATCCAAATATATTCACATTTACCCCGAAGGAAGACAAACACTTCTTAGTTTTGGATCAACTGTTGCAAACAATCTGCAAAATGAAAAGCGATTCAAGCAGTGGACAACCATTTCTAAAACATTCAAAAAAGGGTAGATCTGTCTACCAATAAGATATTACAGATTGCAAAAGATTTTTCATACCGATCATCACAGTATAGCTGACTGTTTGAGAGCTTACTAACAAGTGTAGATTTCCCCTGGACAGTGAAGCAAAGAAAAGCATGATTAGTCTAGCGAAATAACAGGGATGTAAAGCAATCAACAGGTTTATTGACATCATACAGCATTTGTGTAGCCAACTACAGCAATTGTAGCTGATTCTGCTGATCTGCCATCTCTCTTGCGAGCAGCTCTTTGCACCGCTCGAGTCCGACGCACTTCCTTAATCTCTGCAAGTAACTGATTCCGCCTCTCCAATATTCTAAAATGTCACCAATATACAAACAGCTTTAAATAGAACTCAGAACTCTATCACTAGGTTTGCCAAGGATCATCATGATCCTAGGAGAAGCAAAGTGAATATCCACATTTTTGGACAGTAATTAAATACAGATACCATTTCAGACATCAAGTAAGGTTTGAAACAGAACTTTCTAGAGTAATGCTTTTACATCATTGTCTGCTTGGGTTATATTAACTTCTGTTGAAAGGTTATGCAGTAATGCACTGATAAAAGAAAAAGGAAAAAAAAAAAACAAATTTTGTTTAACTGATGTTGCTGTAAAAGAATAAAATTTTCTAAAAGTTAGAATCCTTTAGCGGAGTTCTAGATTACTGACGCATAGGAAGATAGTAATTCTAAGAATGGCCCATGCAAATAGTTTGAAGGAGAAAAACACCTTCGTCTTTGAAGTTGAAGTTCAGTCTCTCCGGCACCACTGATGAAACCGCGTCCACCACTCCCTCTCCTGCAACATTTTAGATAGTGACAACAAGTTTACCCTACCGTTAGTTATGAAACCACTAGAGCCCAGCAATAAGAATCGAGATTCTTTATTCTATTGCAAGCTTTCTCTCCTTTTTTTTTTTTTTTTACTTTAAGGACTCTGCAAAGCCTTTGCTCATCTGTTAATAAGCCTTCTTAAAACTTACCCTCTAGCACTAACTACTTCTGCAGATGAACCGAATGTATGGCGACCGCCAGGTCCACGGATACGAACAAGCCTAGATCTCTTGTACATTAGAGCTGCTAACTCGGCCTGTAAACCCATGAAAGATCAAAGAGATAAACAAGCAACAGACTAGTATTTGAAAATAGAAATAAAAAGGCAAAAGTTTTGCGTAGTACCTGTAGCTTGGCTTCCTTTGTCTGGGCATGCGCATTAAAAATCTCTATGATCAGACTCACTCGATCTAAAACAGGTTTTCCCCAAATACGCTGCCATTTAATAGTTCAATGCGAGATGGATTCTTAGAGCATGAATTTCAAAATTTTGTAATCACGAATTTGAAAAGATACCTAAAATAAAACTCACTTCCAAATTCCTCTGTTGGATTCCTGTTAGGCTTGCATTCACAAATACAGCATCCACTTCATCCTATTAAGTGGCAACAGAAATGGAGAACACATATAACTTTATTGTTGACCAACGATAAAGACACAGAAATAATGCAACCCACCTCTGTATCAACTGCATTCAAATGGCATTTGACAAGGTCCACTGTTCCCTTTCTGAAGTAAGTATCTGCAGGAAATTAACAAACAATGACAACCAAGATACATATAATCCAAAAGCGATTCACTGAGAAATTAGCACAAATTATACTTCCGTCTTGAAGTTTTTCTCTGATTGTTCTTTAGCTGGAGTTGTGGCTCCAAATTATTGACAAACAAAAACAAGATGCGTGCCTAATCCCACGGTCGGATTAAGCCGCAATAAGACCTCAACGATTCGAATTCGACACGAATAAGAGCAAAATTCAATGCCAAACATAAAAATCATAACTTTTAAACATTCACATCATGTATTATACTAATCATTGTCCAATCAAAATGGAATCAAACGCAGAAAAGGAAACACCAAGGAAAAAGGGGAACCCACCAGCGCTAGGTGCTCGGTGGAGAGGATTTTGAACAATCATATGAGGGGGCAGCTCTTTATCGGAAAACTCAGTGGCATAGTATCCATTTCTCTGTTGTTCCAGTGAATTCGCCAAGTTCAAAGCCTCGTCAAGCTTTGATTGCAAGACGGGCTCCGGCCTAAACCGGGGCTGAACCACAAAGAGCTTTGGTGGTCCACTAAGCTCGTCATTATCACCCGATTCTTCATCAAGATGTCGCCGGAGTAGGTTCTGAGTGCTTGAAAACGGGAAGGAAAGAGTGGAGAAGAAAGAGCACAACGATGGGCCTTGAGGGATCCAATCCAAAGGAGGGCTTTTTTTCAGGAAGTAGTTCCACTGTAGAATTAGATTATGAGGGCGGCTGAGTGACGATTCTATGTGCGACCTAGAAATGGTTCTCAACATCGGGAGAATTGTCCGTCTACACTCCGATCACCCGGAAATATGGCGGTGACGCCTTGTTTTTCTCCTTTGAATTTGTTTTTTTTTTCTACTCAATTTTCCATCCTAATAACTAACAATAGAAACTAGAAAGGGTTTTTGGTGGGTTTTACTGTCTTATAGCTAAGAGGCTGTTTTAGGCCATTTTTGTACTTACCTTCTCAATTCTCAATTGTGTTGTTGACTTCTTATTTTTAAAAACCATTCAGGAACTAGTTTGTAGTTACAACGGCATCACTGTTTGCATAATCATCCACTCCTGGTTGCAAAATCAGATCGATGATGAGATGGTATATTTTTACAAGAAAAAAAATGTTTCTTAAAAAAAACAGAAGTACAAATTTGGTAATCTATGCCGAATACGTTGGTGTTACCAACTCTCTATACAAATACCTTTATACCAATGAAGATAATAACATGGATATGAGGTGTTAAATTCACGATAGATTCACAGTGATTACAAGCGGATCATTGCCCTTGTCAACAACAAAAGTCGTGGTAGCATTTATGGTTGCACTGATAATTTCCAGTTCATAAGAACCATGAAATCCTCTGAAGGAGAATTGTCCATGTCCATCAATGTGACCATGAGCCCGAGTAAGCCACTCATTCTTGAGGGCAAGGTATCTTCGACCAGCTTCATCGAGATCACCTTCTGCATTCACTAAGTGTGAATTTTCTCTAAACAAATTCAGTTCCCAAAAACCAAAGAGTATTATACCTTCTACAGCTGGATGAGCAAAAACTTCTCGAAGCATAACTTCCAAATCATCAGCTCTGATATGCTCATTGTTAGAAACCACATCAAGTTCAGTGAACCATATTGGCAGTCCAACAGTAGCCATTTTACTAAGTGCAGAATGCACGGGTCCCTACCGGATTACTAATGTGCCCCTGGATGCCTATTCCTCCAACAGGGGCGCCCTGTTCCTGGAGATCAAGTATTTGGTTAATGTACTTCTCCGGGGATGCCTTGGACTCGAATCCATCCTCGATATGGTAATCATTCACGAACAAAGAAGCGGATATATCTAGCGGTTCGCGGTCCTGAACATGTAGGCTCGTACATCTTTACCAAGCCGATCTTGATAGAAAAAACCATGCAACATCTCATTTCCAACATCATAGTGTGCGAATTTCCCCTGGTAGCGTGCAAGAAGCCCTGTTAAACGGTTTTGAGCTGCGGCCATCAACTCACTATTATTCAAATTGCGTACCCAACCTTGAACATAACTCTCAACCTCCCAGAAGATGCAGTGGCCCCGGACTTGAATGTTGTGGCTGGTGCAGAAATTTAAAAGTTCATCGGCATCTTTGTAGTTGAGCTTTCCTTGCTCAGGTTCTGTCCAATACCACTTCAATTCGTTCTCAAAGACGGCCCAATTAAAATTTTTAAGGAAGAACTTGTCAGGTTCTCATTGTCAATGATTGTTCTTGACAAACAAGATCCGAACGGGAAGCTATTTTGAGTCTGCTTGACTCTGATTAAGGTGCCAAGTAAACTGCTCCCTGAGTCTGGTGCTGATAATCTTACTACGACATCACGTTTCCGTATCTGCATACAGAGAAGCATGTTCAGGCTGAGTTTTTTATTAACTTCAACTACGAAACTTTTTAGTGCAAAAGCAATAACAAGGCAGGAGGGAGGATGACCTTATCTGTTTGTTTCCTTAAGTATTTGAACCTTGCCTGCCTGTCAACAGGGAATATTTGGAGTCCAGTAACCATTAAGTCAACCCCAGGATCAGGACCCAAATGCAAGCCATAATTTTGGCAGCTGGTTGTTCGTTTTCAATCCGAAAAGAACCAGCAATTTCGTGCCATTCATCATCAACTAGCTCGACTTGTCCTCCATTGATCCATTGATCATCCACACCAAGATCAAGTCGCACAATCTGAGGAGTACTAGAATTCCCTGAACCTGCATGATCAATTCGAACCCATGCAGATACCTGATATGTAAGATAGCGTTTAACCTTGCCTGTGATCATCTGAGCTGGACCCGTAGTCTTTTTTGTACGTTTTTTCGCAATAATGTATCTACCACTTAAAGGATGACGATGATGAGTTCTAAGGGATTCTTTAGCTATGGGAGGAAGAACAAGAGGTGAGCCTTTTCCAACACTAAGTCTGCAGTTACCGAGTGGAAACCACCCAGATAATGATCCATGATTAAGGTTGTTATTCGTAATTATATTGACACCATATCCTGGATCCTGCAAAACAATCAACCATAGCTAGTTGAACTAAAATGAAAGACGATACATACTTTATAACACCAGATTGTTAAGAATGTAAACTTTTACCTTAATCATTGGACGAGGAGACGGAGTTTCTTTAGCTGCTTGTTTCACAACCAAGCTCTTGAGAAGAATATCGATGCCTGGAGAAGGACCTTGTAAAAATATGATGACTTGAGATGCGAAACTATTTATTACAAATTTCCCTTTCATCTGCACCCATTCTTTGTTTGTTGCCTGCACTCTGTGGAAACAGAAAAGACCATCTTTTTTTTTTACAATATCCTCTGATGAAATAGCTGGTACTTATTACAATAGAGTGAAACTTACTTTGCTATCTCTATATATCTTTCACGCTTATCTTCAGACTGATTGATCCAGTACAAGGTGGCCTGAATTTCTGCAATAGTAGTATTGACATTGTTACCAAGTAATCGGACCGCAGCATCAACCTCATAAACAAGCTTCTGGCAGAACTTCCCAGTTATATCCTGCTGTATCCCGTCCCAAGTTTGAGTGCGTTGTGTAGCAGATGCGAAAAACTTGCCAGAATGTGGAATAATTCTGCCATCTGCCATCATTTCATGCAAAACAATCTTGCAGCCTCTTCCTGACCAATGGTTGAGGCCATCACTGAAATTCGAATCGATATGATGTTCCCTCCTTCAGATAGGTTATAGTCTGAAGAATTGTGTAAGGGTTCGACATCAATGCAACTTCTTCTAGGGTTGATCATTTGATGATCAGCATCATGAGTATCACTAAACGGAATAACACACTCCATTGCAATCCAATGAAGGAAAAAAGAGGCGCAAAAAGTTAGCAAGGCAAGTCTCAAAAGTGAAGTAAGACTCAACATTATTGAGAACTATTCATTAACACGGACACTATGCTGCATCTCATCGCATTTATACCGGTTATTAACACAACTAATCTGTACTTTTTAGCCTATTCTGTATCAATACAATCCCCACACTGAAACATATTCTAATTGTTAACTTTAATTTATCAATCCCCACGATGTAACATATTCTAATTGTTAACTTTAATTATATTAAACTGTGCGTGTGGCTTTCTTTTTTGTTATTAGCAGTTAGCAGAATACCTTACAAACTGTTATTGCTTCAAGAATAGGTTACAAGTCTCACCAGCTTAAATTTTGACCCAAATTGATTCCGTCCATCATCGCCGACAAGACAGGTCTAAAAACTACAGCTAAGAAGTCTCCTATGATCAAGATACTGATACTCTATCAGCGCGTGGTAGGTAGTGAGACAGGGGATTCTTATTTGAGAGGCAGGTTCATCCTTTCATTTGTGAGGACGTATTTTATCATAAATTTCACAGTTTAAAGAATGTCAAGTACTCTAAAATTCAATGAAAAAATATACTCCTTCGTCCCAAAAAAAATAGTCTACATTGAATTTGCAAATTTGTACTAAAAACAGTACAAAACTCAAAACTCAATGTAGACTATTTTTTTTTGGGACGGATATAGATGCGAAAACATTTGAATCTATGACCTGATCCAACTACTCCCAGGTTGTTTCAGCACTCTACATTTCTTCATCAATTCTCGTACATTTGCAGACTCTTTCCACTCCCCTGCATCTGCGTATATATTCGACAGAAGCACATAAATCGAAGGATCATGCTGTTCAGTTTCGAGCAGAATGCCGGCAACTATTCTTCCAAGCCTTAAGTTACCATGAGCTGCACAAGAACTAAACAATGTCCACCACACACTTGAATCTATCTCGATGTGTAACCCGCTTATTAATGTTTCAGTCTCGTCAAGAAAACCAGCTCGACCTAGAAGGTCAATGATGCAAGAAAAATGGTCTAAATCTGGCTCAATTCCGTACGTACTGACCATAGAACTGAAGATTCGACAACCATCAGAGACTAAACCAGAATGGCTACAAGCTGAAAGAACTGCTGTAAAGGTTGCTACATCTGGTCTTACTTTACACCGTTGCATCATCTCAAAACAACGCACAGCCTCCCAACCTTCACCATGTTGCTTATAGGCAGATATCATAGAGTTCCATGTTATTGTGTCTTTTGTCGTCATTTTCTGAAAAACCCTCGACGACCAATCCAAAATGCCACACTTGGCATACAAGGTAATAAGAGCATTATTCAAGGATGTCTCGTAAGAATATCCCATCTTGCAAATGTAGTTGTGCACCTGTTTCCCATGCCGTAGAGCTGAGGTGCCAGCACAGATATTCAGAGCAATGCAGAGAGTAGAAGTGTTAGGAATGATCCCAGACATTACTAGTTGAGAAAATTGCCTCAAACCCTCCATAGGCAGTCCATTCAAATGATATCCATAAATCAGAGTATTCCAGGAAATAAAATTTCTGCAATTCATGTGACTGAACAGTTGGAAGGCTTTATCAATGCAACCATGCCTGGAAAATGCAGAAAGCAATGCATTTGAAACCTCCACCTTCAAAACAAGCCCACTTTTTGTGACAGCAGCAAGAATAATCTCCACAACTTCAAGACCCTCTGAGCCAACTAATAAGCTTCCAATTGTGAACTCATCCGGCTTGATACCTTTACCTAGCATTTGCAAATAGATTAAGTATGCCTCTCTACCAAAATTGTGTTGAGCGTAGCTCGTTATCATGGTGTTCCATGACACAGTATCTTTCTCCTTCAACCTCTTAAAGACAATCCCAGCATCATTCAAATTTCCACAATTTGCATACATAGTTATTGTTGCATTACTTACAGAAGTAGAGTCTTCAAAACCCATTTTTACAGCTTGCGCATGAACTTGAATTGCTTCCATTGAACAAGAACACGAACCCATTATACTAACAAAAGTCAAGTTGGTAGGCCAAAGACCGGCATTTTGCATATTCTTAAACATTAGGAAGGCATCTCTATCTCTTTCCATGCCTACTAGACCAGCAATCATTGCATTATAAGTTATCTGGTCAAACTCAAAATCTCCCCCCTCTTCGAAAACTCCAAAAGCATCGTCAACTCTTTGGCAAGTGAAGTACATCGTAAGCAAAGAGTTCAAAACAGAAGCTCTAGCCAGCAGCCCAGTCTTGATAATCAGGGAGTGCAATTGCACTCCAAAATCCAAGAGCTCCGGAGAACACAAACTTAAAACACTAGCCAAACTATAGTTATCATGCCTGACACCCGAAGAATGCATTTTTATAAACAAATTCAAGGCAAGCTCATCACACCCATTATCCGCACAACCCGTGATCAGAGCATTCCAAATAGCCACACTTCTGTGCGGCATTTGATCGAACACATGGCAAGCATACGAAATATCCCCAAGCTTTGTACACGCCGATAACAATGTAGTCCACGAATAGACATCTGGGTTGTCAATCTCGTCGAAAACCAGCTTCACTGATCTCAAGTCTAGTGATTTTGAGTAGAGAGAAAGCAGAGTATTCGCAACGTGATGGAAGACGGTGAGCCCGGCACCAATCGCGTAGGCATGGAGCTGGGATCCCACGGCGGCGTCACGGGAGTTGGCGCAGGCGGTGATGGCGGCGGAGAGGGTGTAATGGTCGGGTCTGATGAGATGAGAGGAATGGATATGGTGGAAGAGATGGAGGGCATCTGAATAGCGGTGGTTGCGAGTGAGGTTGGTTAGATGGGAATTGAGTTTGATTAGGAGTAGTTTACCGCAATTTCCAGCAACGGAGGTGATGGAGAGGCCGCTTCCAAGTGACATCTAATTTACATCTCCGCACTTCAAAGCGAAGCCCAAGCAGAAATCATACAGTAATTTTGTTCCTCAAACTAGGTGAGGTTGATGATGCCCCCTAGGCAAGAGCGTTTCTCTATTTGGACTAAACAAATTATAACTTTTCTTCCTCAGGCAAAAAAAAAGGGTCAAACATGTTTCTCTCATTAAGACAAGACATCGACCGCCCTGCCTTCCCAGCAAAACAGAACAGTTTTGTAATGGAATTAATCGATACTCCCACCATTTCAATTTGAAGAGATTTTTCAAAATGTAGGTCGTTTTACAAATTCTATGCAAATTAATGACTATTTTTTCACTTTTACCCTCAATAAATGATACCAGTATATTTTCATTTAGTCTTGTTTATAGTTTCAATGCAATTAATAAGGGGTAAAACAGATCTTTACCACGCAAGTTAATTGTTGGATGATTGTCTCCTTAATTTAAGTACAAAGTCTAAAATGACTTATATTTTGATTTGGAAGGAGTATATATATAGAGACATATGAGTATAAATAAATCCATCCCATAGTAGTGACACACAACTACAAAATTATACATATCCTCATTTCGTTTCATTTTTTTGATCTGTCCCGGAGCTCGGAATACAATTTTCACATTTCAATTTCCCAATGTTGATACTTGATACCAACAAAAAGGATGCCCAACCGTTCTTTTAATTAATAGAGGTTACTTATCTAGTTCAAGCTACTAATTCTATTTACAGTATCTCTAGGCCAAGAAAAAATTAGTAGGATGTTTGTTTTCATTTTTGGGGAGGGGATGATGAAACAGTTGTGGGGAAGAACATTTGCATGGCTCCTTCAGCCTTGATTATGGGGAAGATTATACTTGATGCACCCGAGATCAATCGGGCCCCAAGCCACAACCTCTTGGGAGATGGAAAAGGCGTCAACAAGCGACCGACCCCGTATATTGCGACAGCGAAAAAATGCAGAACCAGGCTCAATGGCCGTGGATTTAGACCGGAGAGTAGAGCTACAGGTCCATTGGAACAAACTCCTCCGAGGCTTAGATAATCAAAGCATGCCTGTCGCATTTCGTTCCTTGCTTGATCAGAAGAAGAACAGAACACTTTGTAAAGGGCACCTGCCAGAGTATTTATCGTAGAAGCTACCGGCTGCAACAAAGATCCATGATATCAGGCCAATGCCATAACAAGTTGATTCATGCATGAAGTTTCCTAACCAGGGTAGAAGAAACATTCACAATGAAAGAGATGCAGAGCACTTTCCTATTTTTGTGATCAGATGTACAAGTTTATAAACCATCACTTATTGGAGTTGTACTGTTGACAGATCGACATGCACAAGTGTCTGGTTTTGGAAATCAAAGGGAAAAGCACGTGGTGTATGCAAATTCACAAGCATTACTACAATCCTACTGGATCTGCTTAGACTATTTCTCAACCTAGTTCATACTGCTAACCAAACTGCAAAATCCACTCTTACTGCAAGTTAATTAGCATTACCTTCCGAAGTGTGTAGAAGGAATCGAGGTGTTTACAAAGTGACTCAGCATCATTAAGGTTGGGTAAGGGTTTAAGCAAATCACGAAGCACCACAATGTCAGAGAGAGCTACAGTCATTCCTCCACCAGTTAAAGGATGCCGCATGTTAAAAGCATCACCCATTAATAATGCTCCAGGAGTGGGATGGGGGGCAGCTGGCATGCTTCTGTTTGGCATTGTTCTAATGTGTCCCTTATCGATAGCAGTTAAGAAGGCATCATGCAGCTCCGGTGGAACCTAAGTCAAGTAACAATTGGGTTAATCCAAATGGTCCAAGACAACGACTATATCATAGGAATTCAAAACCAGACCTCTGATGTTCAACCAAAACAAGGAACAAGAATCAAAAGATAATAGTTTTCTGAAGATATTGAGATAAGGATATAGGACCAACAAGAAAATTTTGATATTTAGACCTTGAAGTGAACACCGTAGGGGTACCTGAGGTGCTACCACAGTCTTCAAATAATTTGCCATTTCACCACTGGCAATGGATGGAAGCTTTTGTCCTGGTACATCAACGAGGCAACGAATCTCTGTGCTGCTAATTGGATAAAACAAGATAGGTGATGGATCCGCGAGAATAACATGCCCATGGTTGGGAAAGGGAAGTTGACAGTTTTCCAACACCAAGCCAACAAAGCAAGAAGGAACCTCTACCTACATGAAAATTAGCATTTATTCACAAAAACTTCAAAAGAGGCAAAATTACTAATTAAACCAAGTGAACTGTTGACATATGCATAAACAGAATTTATTCAAATCAAATTGACAAAATTGCACATGCAGTAAAGTAAAACCATGCTTGTCAAAGTTAGCACCTGGGGGCTGCAAAGAGATCGTCGCAAATTCGAGAAGCATCCATCACAAACTACAGTGAGGGGAGCATAAGCTTTTAGTACTTCGCCGGTTTTAGTTTTATATTGGACACCTTGTATGGTGCCATTTTCTTCAAGTAGGGATGTTACTGTGCCTTGCTCAAGTCTTACACTAGTTAAAATTAAAGAACAAAGATGAGAACAGAGAAAATATTCAATAGTGAGAACAGGTAGTGAGGAAAAGTCAACGTAATGCTTTTATATTACGCAGAAACGATAAAATGCTTTTAAATTCATTCCAATAATGCTCTGCGGAGGAAAAAAAGGTGAAAGAATACATACTTTGAAAGGCTGGCTGCTTTTTCTCTCATCCTCTGAATGAACCGCCCATTGTGAAAGCTTCTGCCAGCAACATCTGAATCGAACTTTTCCAAAGGATAAGAAACTCTAGTCCTTCTACCATCCTTGAAAAGAGCATATCCAAACACTCGCTGAGCATCAATTTTGTCAACACAATCTGCACTCAAGCAAAAACTAATAAGCTTCTGGACAAAAAAAAAATGTCTTATACTAAATTGTCTGCTTAGCCAAGTGATAAAAAGAGCAAAAACATTAGCACGTGCCTTGGAGTCCCAGCTCTATCAACTTAAGATATCCCCCTGGTTGAAGCAGCTCGCCCACAATTCTATCAGGCTCTGTCAAATCTCTTTCAATCACATGAACTCGTCGTCCATCCTGTACAAGGAATATCATTCAGCGATAAGTTAACACTCATGAAGTAAGGTTAGAACCTAATGTCACTAAGCCACCTCTCAATAATATCATAATGATGTGTTCTAAAAGGTTGTTCCCCCCACTCTTTTGGTTCTAAAACTCTTAGAGCAACTAATATATTTAAACTACAAACTCCACACACTATTATATCTGTAGTTAAGCATGGCCAATCTCACCACCATATATCCAAACAAATAAGACGTATACATCCTCCTTTCCATTTGGTCCAAAAAACTTTCATTTTAAGGCCACGGTCTTCCTAAGCGACAGATGTCATTGGCCCCCCAAAAAACAGCAAAGTGCATGAAAGCAACATACATTATTTGGATTCTCAAAAGAGCATTAGTCCATACATCACAAGAACTAATACACTGCTATGCACTAGACAAGGAAGCAGCACTAAGTTATCGGAGGCGTCAAAGTTACATTGCCACTACTCCATCATTATTTTTTGTGGGACATAATTGCACACTGTAGGCTCATCACAAAGTAGTCTTGGTTTGGTCAATCATGCAAAGAAAGGTGACAATAACTCAAGTAAATTAAAAGCTTTCCTCCTAACCAGAATTACCTTAATAGGTTTACCAATTACCACCATCCTTAGGGAAAAAAAAAAATTAAAAAAAAGTTTAATTTGCCATTGGGCTCTAACAGAAGTGTTCAAGCAAAGCCAAGATCTACGAATGAAGTTCACAGCAAAGCACCCAGCCTGCTATTTTCCCTTGCAGACAACAGAAGAAACGAAAAAAAAAAAGGACGAATCTTTTGCAATATTTTTATTTTAAAAAAAAAATCCCTAACAAAAACAAAAAAATAAAATAAAAAATGAAGTGTGCATATGCAATCTACACGTAGAGAGAAAACACAGAAAATGCAGACCATGCCAAGAGTGTGGGCCAAGGCGGCACCGGCGACACCAGCACCAACGACGATGACGTCAGTCTGAGAACCATCCCGGGAAGCCTTGCATTCAGAATCTCCCGCCGGGTCGCTCCGAATTTCGTACCGGGGACGATCTGCATGTTGCTGTTTCTGATCAATTCGCCGGTTCCTGCGACTCAAAACGCAGAAGAGCGAAAACCCGAACAGAACAGAGGACAACAGGATCCCGGCAATGTATTTGTCATCCGTGATCGTCACCATCGCCATGCCCCTTTTGGTTTTGCCAAACACAAAAGGAGATTTTGCAAACAGTCGGAAATGGGGTTTGTTGGGGACAGGTGGGGTGGTTCTTCTACTAGTACTATTTCGGTGCGAAATTAAAGGCGAAATAGACGGGGATGGACCTAAATTTGGTAATTTGGGAAATCTATGGGTTGTTGTTGTTATGGATGTCGTGGTGGAAGGAAAAGACAGCGAGAATTGAAGTGAGGAGGAGGCTAGAGGACTGGTGGCCATTTATAAACAACACAGATCAGCAAACAACAAAAAACAAATGACCACATTATTTTTTGTGTTTCTCCCCAAAATTATTGTTCATATTATGTTTGTGGTCTTTGCGAAGACAACATTACAAACAACGTCGGAAACGGAAAGGGTACATGTAATTCACGTTTTATTAGACCATAGAATCAGCCAATATGAACAGCATTAAATATTGTCGGTTTCTATGGGGGGGATTTGGCATGGGTGGTTAGCTTTTACTAGATTTGGTATGATGCTTTGATTCTACGAGTGAAAGAAACTTTGCGATTGGGATTTGGGAGCAGGTTGGGGACTCTGCTAGTTTTACGTGGTCGGGAGAGTAGGGGTCTCACTGTTACACTTACACGTATTGTAAAATTTGGTTAATTAACTTAACAATACTCTCTTGTGAGATGACTAAATCCATAAGTATTTATGTTAATCTCTTGATTTAGGCTTTTGCCTCTTTCCTTTTATATATATACTAGTTATGTCTGGTCGCATAATGCGCGACCCTGCCCAATATATCTGTAGATCTTAGAAATATTTATATCTGAAAAAAAAAATATTTTGTATTTGGCTCAATATATTTTAGAAATGTTTGAAGAATTTAGAAATGTTATATAAGTGTGATCATAAAAATGTTTGTATTTGGTATAAAAAGAAATTGTATTTGGCCCGGTATGTTTTAGAAATGTTAAAAGATTTTAAAAATATTTTATAAGCGTTACTTCGTAAATATAAATAGATTGATCAAATATATGTCTTGAAGTAAATGCTAGACAAAATATAAAAGCATCCTAATAAGTTTAAATATTAGTAAGATGATTTATTAATGTTCTCTATTGGTTGTGCCAAATGAATACTTAGTTTTGGAGATTTATAATAGCTTTGTAGTAAGCTTCCTCCTACCTCCAAAAGGTATACGCTTAATTGTTGGAATTATTTCTTCCAAAAGTTTATAGATAGTAAAATATCAAAAATATGATTTTGAAACTGGTTAATTGTTGTAAATGGTTGATCACAAATATGAGAATAAAAATAATGTAAATTTACATAGGTTTCAAGTTATAGCAAAAAAGAACTCACCTCACCATGACAAATAAAAAAAAGAAAGAAAGTAAAAGATAGCCTATTAAAAATTGAGAAATTTATTTTTTTCTGTAGGTAAAAATGATGTATAAAAACACAAATAAATGTAAAAACATCATTCCTTTCCTCTCCACCTCAAATTCATAAAAGACTTCCCCATAAATTAGTTAGAAGAAGTGACCTGAACTATTTATATGATGAGGAACTAAAAAAAGTCCAAAAACCAAATCCAAAAAAGTATATTCTTGAAAGCCCGAACACAAAAAAAAACGCGCTTCATTTGCAAATAAAATAAAATAATAATAATAATAATTGGTCAACTGGGAGTATGAAAAAAATTAAAAGCAATTAGACAAAGAAAAAACACACTTTATAACTGACCATATACGGAAAAAAACAGAGACTCCATAATTAAAAAAAGAAAACCACTCTAATTGAATTAAACATAAAAAAAAAGAAATTTAAAAAACCACACTATGTAACAAAAACCCAATTAATCAATTCAATCCAAACAGAACTAAAATCATAAAAATTATAGGCTAACTAACCATATAAGAAATCACATCATATTACCTGACAACGGTTATGGTAGCTGTAACGGATGGACGCATAAAAATAATAGTAATAACACTATTATTGAACGGAAAAAATAAAAAATAATAAATACCAAACAAATGATTTGTGAAAATAAAATTATTTAAATTTTAATACCTGTAATGGCACCACCACAATGGCCGAAGCAAGATCAATGAATTTTTTTTTCTCCTTTGTGTTTATATAGAGAGGTAAAGAGAATATTTGTTGAACTCAAAATTTTATCCGATTAGGATGTAGTTGATCATCACTAATGAAAAAATTGAACATGCTAATAAGAAAGGAGTATATTTCACCACATATTCTCAATTGATGATTGATGAGGAATTTATTTATTTTTAATTGTGGAGAAGGGATTGATTAGAAAGTCGATTGTCGTGGAGATGAGGATGAGGATTTAGGTTTTTTATGAACCCGTGGTTTTTTTTTTTTTTTTGCGAAAATAGGAGGTGGAGGTGGATTTGGACCGTATTTCCCTTTTAAGTCTAGGAGATGTGTAAATAAAAATTTATTTTAAAAATATGATGTGGAAATGCCACATGGCAAATGGTGGTACTTTCTCTTAAGTGTGGTTTTTGTTTCTAATATAGTAATATATGAGCATTATGTTTTTAAGTATAATTAACACAGAGGCTATCCTTTTTTTGGAACCAAAAGAATATAATAATATCTATAGTATATTATACTAAGAGAGAAACCGGAGAGAGAAAATATAAACATGTTTCTAGAGTGCCAAGTAAGCAAAAATCATGTCAATTCTTCAAAATTTTGGAAAAAAATAGTTTCCGAATTTATGCTAATAATCCTTGAAGTATGTCAATAATATCAAATCACCCTAATCACCATAATTGTAAAAATTAATTAATTTTAGTATTAAATGCTCTCATTTATTTAAAGAAAAATCATCTTAATTTGTTAACAATATATTTTTTAATACATGAACTAAAGGCCAAATCATGGCTACATTCATGATTTATTCAAACCTAATTAATTCGAAAACAAATTGCATTCTTCAATAATATAAAAAATTATTTAATTATTTTAAACTAAAGTCAATCCAAATTTGTACATGACTATCCAAGAATTCAAATAATTCGGGAAAAAAAGAATCCTAAAAAAACCCTATAAATGATAGCATACTTCACCATTATAGTGATCTCGCAAATATTTATCACAAAAACTTTCAAGCCATCCTCATATTTTAAAGAAAAATCAACAAATAATTGAGCTTAGTCCAATTTGAATTTAAGTAAAATTGTGTCGAATTTAGTTGGGTGTTTTTGTCTTTTAACGAGTTATTATCTTATTTCACTATAAGTTATCGATCATAGATGCGATCCTCTTTTTTTTATTATTTATGATAATTTTTTAAACTAATAATTTCATTTACATTTATCGAATCAAAAATTTAAATATTTTTTATAAATATATATAAATAAATCCCGTGCGGGTTTAACATCTAGTATAACTGGATACTAGCATAATCACATTTTAGCTCTTTCCTTTGAACGCATGAGAATGATAGGGATGATATAATTATTTATTGACTTTTTGAGCCAATAATCAAGTTTTTTTTTGCAAAGGTTGAAAAGTATAGTCAGGAATTACCAGAGAATATAAGTCAAATAACGGATGCAACATTTTTTTATACAAATATTATAATTTAATGTGTGTACCTTTTTTAGTGACGGGGGAAATATTTGGTTATGGGTCTTCTATACAAATTAACGTGACACTAGTTATATGATAGACAGATGCCATTATTATTATATTTGAGTAAGTAATTAAACATATTTTGATTATATATAACCTAGTGTCACACTGAATATAACACAAAAGTTTTATATAAATTTTTTTGCCAATTTTTTATATTAATACTAATTTACCTTTTATTTACCAAAAGTAAAAGATATCATAGAAATGTGACAGCTGGTAACCTGTGCAGGAAAGATGCAATTTTTAATACTATTAATTAATTGATTAATTATTTTACTTTTATACCCAAAAAAAATGGGTACAGGTTGATAATCTTAATGTCATACCCAGAAATAAAAAATAAAATAAAATAAAAAATAGGCGATTATAATTAAGGGGAAATTGTTGGCTTTGCCTCTCAATTCCACGAAATCGAATAGAAAAATTGTTGCGGACCCATGTGTTTTTTTTTTTACCAAAAAAAAAAAAGAAGAAAGAAACTATCTTAAATAGTCGCAATACTAACAACCATATCCCTAAAATTCGTTACGATCATGCTTAATGCATTTTTTCCTTTTTTTTTTTTTTGTTTGGTGACTCCCAATGCTTATTTCAATTCCCTTACAATTTGGCTTTTCGAGCATTAATTAAAAGCTAAAATTGACAACAAGCAATAATGAAGATACCAATCTAGCGTCACGTAATTATTCTTGAACCTTTACTTATTAATTTATTTATTTATATATGGTTCTTGATGTATGTAGGTCGTTTATATCAGTACTCGTTGATGACTACAAAGTCGGGTCACTTAATTTAGATTTCGTACGTAGAGATGTAAGTCTGGCAAGAAATATCACAATTAAAATTATGGACCACTTAAAAAATTAATCAAGAGATTATCTCTCCATTTTAATTTATAGGTCGTTTTAAATTTGGAAAGATTTTTCAAAATATAGGTCATTTTACAAATTTTAGACAAACTAATAACTAATTTTCTAATTTTACCTCAATAAATGATGTCAATCTATCCATCTATCAACTTTGCCTTACTCTCAAATAAGGTAGACAGGATGCATGCTAGGGATACTATTAATCAATCATCATTTATGTATGTTATACTCCCTCCGTCCCATAATTATTGTTCAGTTTGAGTTTTCATTTTTAGTTCTAATTGTACTAAAAATGAAATCTCAAACTGAACAATAATTTTGGGACAGAGGGAGTATTATCTTTATGTGATCATCACGAATGCCATATGTGATATTGAAGTTGCATATCTTCTCGCAGGGCGGAATCAAATATATATATATATATATGTATGATATATATATATATGTATATATATATATATATATGTATGTATGATATATATATATATATATGTATATATCTTGAGCATTCATCCAAGCATGGTAGAAGAACAATTAATGTCCTAATAATAGTAAAACGTGTAACAACCGGGGAAATAACACACAAAAATTTGATTAAATAGTTTTATTTTAAAACATTTGGGGGACAAAAACCAATGAGCTGAAAGTTAAAATTTTGGAAAAATTATCACGAGGAGCGTACGTAGCTCTAAGAAAGACCACAATTGCATGTTCTCATTCATTTCCATTGTGTACAATCTTATATAGGAATGTTGGAATTGGTAATAAAACGTGGGTCGCAAATTGAAAATCACATTAAAAATTAATCCTGCTATAAAAAACTACTTGTTTGTTTAGGTTTTTTTTTATGGTTTTTTCAGAATAATGAAATTAAAATTGTCTCATCCCAACCTATCTTTTTATATTACCACTATATTTTTTACATTCTCAATACAAAAATACTTAAAAACATACTAAAAAAACGAAACATACATACTTACCAGTCCAGAGAAAAAACGAAGCAAATAGAATCATACATGCAACAACGTCGCAGCACATCATCCATCCATGAAGAAAGGTTAAAACTTCCCCAGATGATGGAAATTGAATGAAATATACTCCGTGTTTGTTTTGAACTTGGGCATCAAATCACAGATATTACAAAAGATAGATGACGCAATTCCTGGGAATCCCACGTACGAGAC